TTTAACACCCCAAGACTTTAAGATATTGTTCATACTTTCGTGCCCTTTCATGCAGAAAAAGGTGTGGTATTTATAAGCCCCAATGGCTTCAAAATTGAAGCTAAAAAGTTTCTTATCCTAGATTTTCGAGGTATTGGCGGTACCACCATCATTATTGGATGGTACCACCGCTTGTAGACTGACACTGGGTGGTACCACCGCTCAGTTTGGGTGGTACGATTGCCTAATAGAGCTCGGAGATCGAGCTTTGGCAGTATCACCGCCTGACAGCATTAACTGCTAGCGGTACCACTGCCTAGCCCACTTGGCAGGGAGGGTCTTAGGCGGTGCCACCATCGGCCTTAACTCCAAGGTGCTGAATGGGCCTTATTGATGACAAAGGGGGAGAAGGTATGATGATGATCATGGGATGATGTACTTGGATATTTTGATTATGTATGATTTTATGATGTATGCAATGATTTGATAAATTGGTTATTTCAATACTCATGTTGAATGTAATGTTGAAATACTATGATTTCAAAGTTTCTATCAATATTATTTATAGGGGGAGTTTGTTTAAACTTTAAGAGTTTATTTAAACTCCGTCATCAATTGGTTGTCATCATAAAAAATGAGGAGATTATTGAATCTCATATTTTGATGATGAAACCAATTGATAAGTGTTTATCTAATATATGTTTAAGTGATGCAGGACTAACTTCAATCAGAAGAGGTAAATCGATTAAAGTAGGAGGAATCAGATGTTGGGCCGGAGTAAACATGTCAGAAAATTGGACTCGGGCCAAAGGATCGGTCGACGTATCGGTAGAAGGCTTCGGTCCATGAATTCGAGCATTGGGCCAAGAAGATCGGATATTGTGCTAAGGAGATCAGATGTTACAAGAAGACAACATGCTGATTGGGTAACACGTCAAAGGAGAGGACAATGCGCCAAAGGATCGGACGAAGCACCGGTAAAACCAATGATATGCCGGACAACATAGGATTTGCTTGTAATCAATTATGTCTAGATCGAGTTAGTTTAGAGTCTAATTGAATCGGTTTAGAATGTAATTAGATCAAGTCAATTAGGAGCCAATTAGGCCTAATTGGGCCCAATTTTGGGTTGTTTTGGGCCAAGTAAAAAGGCTCAAACAATGATCCAACAGGTGGAATCGTCATGGCAAAGTCTTCGAGAATATGTCAAGTGGTGGTACCATCGGTCTAGGTAGTGGTACCACCCAAACTCAGTCTCTAAGACTATCAGACGGTGGTACTGTCTAGACATAATCTCCTAAGTGATAGTACCACCAGTCTGGGCAGTGGTACCACCCAGTGTCAGGCTGCAGGTGGTGGTACTATCTAGTGCAGGCGGTAGTACCACCCATACCTCAAAATTTCGGGGATTTAAATTTTGGCTCCAAGTTTTGAAGTCATTCGGAGTCTATAAATACCCCAGCTATTCCTACATGGAGCAGTAAGAAAGATTGGGCAAAATTCTATTGTAAACCCTATTAGAAAGTTGAGTTCCCTCCTCCGAAAGCTTAGAGAGAGTTTTAAGGAGAGAGTTCTAAGGGAGGTATGTGAGGGATACCTTGTAAAAGAGGGTTATAAAAGGTTATCTCCTAAACCTGTAAAAATGAGAAGAGAGGTGTAAAAGGATAGTTGGTCTTTGCCCATTGAAAGAAGATTATTAATGGATACCGATGGCCTCGATGGAAGAGGAATCGGGAGTGGATGTTGGTCACGATGATCGAACCACTATAAAAATCTGGTATGCATTTCTTTTGAGCAATTTACTTTAACTGCAAACTGCCTTCTTATTACTTTCACTATGCTCTCTTATGCTTCCAAGTTAACATCTTCCGAGATTAATTTTCAACGTACAAAAGATTTTTAGAATTGATATTTTTACTACTACACTAATTCACCCCTTCCTAACAAATTGTTCTTCCGGCGAACTTCTTGGTGAACTTCCGCTGAACTTCTCGGCGAACTCTTGGAGAACTCCCGACGAACTCTCAGCGAACTCCTGTCGAACTCTCAGCGAGCTCCTGACGAACTCTTGGTGAGCTTCCAATGAACCACCGGCACATAGTCCGAATCTTCGACGTATCGTTCGATATTTAACTCTGGCCCAACATATTGCTTTTATGCTTTCCTGCAACACTTATCTCAACATATGGATTAGATCAATAATTTACCAATTGATTTATTATCAAAATATGAGATTCAATAATATTAACTATAATAATTATTATACATTAATCGGTAAAAAAATTCATATTTTGACTATAATCATGATAAAAAAATCATTTCTCTATGTTAAAAAATAAATATTATATCATAATTTTTTAAATATGCATATAAATAACTACATAAATATACAAAAGTAATAATTAAAATTTAAGTACCACAAGCAAATAAAAGAATTTACTAATATTTCATATGAGAAAACTATAAAATGAATCCATAATTTATATTTTTAAAAATTCTGTATGAAATCATAAATTAGGCTAATTAGTCATATTTAATTGAGCAAGCTCAAAATTGGGCTTTCCAAATTAAGCTCATAGATTTGGGCCAAAAATTAACCCAATTAGGTTAGTCAAAATCAGAATTGACCAAAAATTAGTCAAAATTAAGATTTAGTCAAATAAAACTTGACCAAGGTCAAAATATATCAAAAACTTAAATTTGACTAAATTAGGTCTAAATTAGGCTACAGTCAAAATCTAGTCAAGTTGTAATCAAAATTGTCAAAAGCATAGGATTGACTAAGGTACTCAATTTAAACTAGGTCAGAATCAATTTTGATCAAATTGAGTCAAAATAAAAAAGGGGAAGGTCAAAATAACACTTTGACCAATTAGGTCTGATCAAAAGAGTCAAAATTAGATTTGTTGACATTTAGGTCAATATCACAAGAACCCCATGGCCTTTCCTTCTCTTCAAAACCATTCTCACCACGACTTACTTCCACTTCCACCATTACACCACCGACCATGATCCAAAGTTAGTCTTTCATCAATTCGGTAACTCGTTTCCTACAACCGCCTTTGTCTGAGTCTGTCACATCTTTAATCAATTGCGATATCCAACGATGCCTCGGCCGACTTGCGTAGCTCCTCCAACACAACTATCATCCCCATGGGTAGCACTTTGTTGCAATGCCACTAGCGATGCCCTTCTCCATCATGATGTCATAGCACACAATAGTGACATCGCCTAAGGCAGCCGCTACCAATTACAGTGATCGCCGCTCATAATGGCACTGATCGCCATTATCACACAACCTATATATCGTAGTGTCATCTCCAGTTGAGGACAATCCTACCTTCCTCTCCTATAGTGACCCCTAACAACCCAACCATAGCCAAATGTGATCCACGTATACCTATGTGGCTAGTTCCTTATCGCGGCTTGTTCGTTATGCATGACTGTCGTGCGACCCCTCATCGGGCCAATGATCTCGCTACCAATGTCGCAACTATAATGTGTTCCTTTCCGATGAACACATTCGCAAGTGTTGTAGCATCACCATCTACTGCCAGCCAACCTTCGACCAATACCATCAACTATAGTCACGAGCAAGCACACAATCGGGTTCCACCATTGCAACCTTGTAATCGTTGCCCCTTGCTATATTGTCGCTGACAACAATAATCGTCGACAACAATAACCTCCCTAATAGGGCTATTGCCTCCTTTGCCACTGCCCTAAATAAAGCCAATGAATGTAGTGCCATCATAGTATATGTAGTCGCTTTATGTAGCATTACTACTCGCATAGCCTTTGCTCATAATAGGGCCAATGATCAAAGTAGACTGTAACCTTCAATAGTGCCATCGTCTATGGCAAGTTACTGTTATAGTCTATTGACTAAGATAAGGTGACAATCTTCTATCCGTGATTTAATTCATGTGGGTAAAGAAATCTTCATTTGCTTGTAAGTAAGTGACTAAGGCGAATGGGATAAACTTAAAATAGATATAATGCTTTTATAATCTAGTGTACTTGATTTCAAAATAAGTTTTGATACTAATTATAAACATATATATTGTAATCATGCTACTATACGAAAAAACTTTAATGCCAGAAATCAAATAACAATAGATTAAATTTAGAATGTATATCTCTCGATGTTATTCAGAATACTTGTCTTCTGATTTACAAACACACCCGAAGGAAGCAATGGTACCAATTTATAAGGAGAACCATACTCGATTTCTATTCTCTTTCTATGCTTTATAAGATTACTATAAGTAATTAAACAAAGATTAAGAGGATATGAGAGTATATTTGTAATCTCTTTTCTATATATAGTTCCTAAAAGATCCTGTTTATTTATAGACAAGAATAAATGATCTAAGACAAATAATTAGGGGAGTCCTTACTGGGTCATCCTTAATAAAGAGTCATACCATAGTTAGATTTTCTATCTATTGATCGATAAATCTAATTAAAATCTAATTATAATTATAATATATCTTGTCTAATTAAGTAAGACCACATGATCTAACAAATACTATCATGAAATTATAGATTAGAATAGAATGAAAAAAAGAGTGAAAATTACTAGATTCTCCATGTTTAACCTATTTTTTATGTATTTATTTTTATTTAAATGGCTTCTAATTGTTTAGTTGATGTTGGTACATATAATTCAACTCCGTTTTTTTTTTTTTTTAAACTCTTATGGATCGAAGAGAAATATCTACTGAATATTATAAATTTAGAAAATTATATCATTATGATCAATAAAAAATATTAAAGTTATGCTAATCCTAAAACTAAATTAATAATAATTTATTATTACTTGGGACCCTTGTATTTCATAAATCTTAAATAGGAATTTTGAATCTAGTTTAAATAAAACTGAACCATGCAACAAATCATCAGGAACTAACAATCCAAATAAGTCAATTTAAGTCAAAGCATATGTATTTAGTCCTATGTAGATTTTGGTATAATTGACCATTTTGTGCCACATTAAAAATTGACAATTTTGTTCACAATTAGATCCAATTGGGTCTGAAGCCAATAAAGGAGGATTGGGCGAATCGGCCGATCCGAAACTATATCTTTGCTACAAGTCGAAAGCGATTTGAAAGACGTTCTCGCAATCCTATTAGGGTTTCCATAGCGCTAGTCCCGTTGGTCCGGCTCCAGCCTCGACGAAGAAGAGAGCGGAGAGGGATCGGAGACGTGTGGGGGGATATGGACTCCTCGTTGTCGTCGGCGTTAGCGCGGCAGACGTGGGAGCTGGAGAACAACATCGTGTCTGTGGACGGCGGCAGCGGCGGTAACGGGTCAGGCGGGTCTGATGCGGACGCGATCTACTACTACGATGAGGCGGTGCTGGCCAAGTTCCAGCAGGAGAAGCCGTGGACGCAGGACCCTAACTACTTCCGTCGGGTGAAGATCTCGGCGCTTGCGCTGCTGAAAATGGTGGTGCACGCTCGCTCCGGCGGCACCATTGAGGTGATGGGCCTGATGCAGGGGAAGACCGATGGCGATACCATCATCGTCATGGACGCCTTCGCTCTTCCCGTCGAGGGCACCGAGACCCGCGTTAATGCGCAGGCCGACGCCTACGAGTACATGGTTGAGTACGCCCAGACCAACAAGCAGGTGATATGCCCTCATCTTCTATCGGGAAGAAACCTAACACACTGCTTTTAGTATCACGATGAGCCATTTAACTGGCATGTGCAACGAGTATTCCCTATGAACTGGAGACTTGATTTTCTGGAATTTAAAGTTAATAGCTGCATAACACCCGCTTTAATCCTGTGTAGTTATGTTAAATGCACCTAAATTTTCTCATTTTCTTTTTTGTTTCGCTGGTGTAGTGTGAATTTATGTTGGGGTTCCTCCTGTTGTGAAGAGTAAAATTTTCTGATTCTTTATGCAGTTGCTAGTGAAAAGAAGGGTTCTAGAATTTTGCTTTAAACAGTAGAGGATAATTGATTAGCTTTATTTTATTTGCTGAGGATGTAGATCATTGTGGTTCAAGTCTCTTTCAACCATATGCGCGATTACCCTGGACTTCATGGTAATTTTGTTTGCTTTTTTGTTTCTTATGTTTCTAGAACTTAGTTCAGATGTTGAGATGATGTGTCTTGTTGTTACTTTTTCCTCCATTGAGCCAAATCTTAACACTTGTTCTTGTTGTAGCTCTTGTTCTCATTAAAAGTATCATTTGCCATGACCTCATTAGTAAAGAATAGCTTATTGCAGATTCCATTCTTTACATTTTTTCATCAACATAGAAGCGTGCTTGTGTTATTTGTGCAATGGGAAAGAAACCTACTGATCAATTTTAAGAGTTTGATTTAACCTTGTTGTCAAACAGATCTACTGTTACTTAATAATGTCAAAGGCCTGGAAACATTTTTCATTTTTTTTCCTCATTTTACAAATCATGATCAGATCTCATCTCTTATAATAAGACAGCTCTAAAAGGTCATGCTTAAAACCATGTTTTAGTAATAATTGTGAAATACTTTATGCTAACTATAGTTTTTTATGTGAAAAATTAGGCTGGAAGGTTGGAGAATGTAGTGGGTTGGTACCACTCACATCCTGGTTATGGATGCTGGTTGTCGGGCATTGATGTGTCAACACAAATGCTCAATCAGCAATTTCAAGAACCATTTTTGGCTGTAGTAATTGATCCTACAAGAACTGTATCGGCTGGGAAAGTGGAAATTGGTGCATTCAGGACATATCCTCAAGGATACAAACCCCCTGATGAGCCAGTGTCAGAGTATCAAACTATCCCACTTAACAAGATTGAAGATTTTGGTGTTCACTGCAAACAGGTAAAGAATGTTAATGTACAAGAATTTCTTTTCTTTTGCACATATATGTTTGTTTATTTTTACTCTTTGTTTTGGTACAGTATTATGCATTAGATATTACTTATTTCAAGTCTGCTCTGGATTCCCACCTCTTGGATTTGCTGTGGAATAAGTACTGGGTAAATACATTGTCTTCTTCACCTCTCCTAGGTAATCGAGATTATGTTGCTGGGCAAATTTCAGATTTGGGTAAGTTATGCTTTTTATTTATACAGATAACTATATGTTGTTTATAAATAGAAAATTCAAAAGGTGTGTGAGCAGTTGTTTTAGAAGTCTATCATAAGTGCCACATTGTGCCATGTTCTCTTTTTTACAATACTGCAATGTTGGCTTCTCTTTGCCGTACATTTTTTCTTATGAGATGAACTAGAACTTTATGGCAGCTGAAAAGCTGGAGCAGGCAGAAAATCAACTGGCTCACACACGTTTGGGATCTTTTCTTTTGCCTTCACAAAGAAAAAAGGAGGTCAGTGTTTTTTGTGTCTGTTCGTCGTTGGGCCTTTCCAAGTTATGCTTCATTTGAATACACATGTTGGTTATTTTGATATACTGTGTTTCATGATTGTGATGAATATTGAATTATTTGCATCATATGAATTATAATTTAGACTACTGTGGTAAATATTTGTATGATGAGCTGGAATAGAAGAGTTATGCAATGTAAAGGGTGCAAAGCATGGATCTAAATCTCATGTACTGGATTCATACGTGTTTATGGTCGGATTAGTATGGCTTATTGTCACATGGTATGCCAGTACATGCCATGGTATTGGAGGGAGGAGGAGAAGTACCAGTGCCACAAAAGATGGGTGGGCCAATGACAGTGTGCAATCGGTGGGCCGATGGCAATGGGCGAGCAGGTGGTGAGCCCTAAGGGGCTTGGGGGTCGGATGATCAAGAGAGAGATAGGGCAGGTTTAATTAAAATATATTGTCTTGAACCAGACTTAAATGGTCCTTAACACAGTTCATGCTCGGGTCGGTACATATTGCTAGGTATATACTAGGCCCAACCAAATTAGGAACCTTGGTACAAACTACAAAGCATAATTTAGTCAATCTCTCAGTTATTTAGCATGTGATATTTCTCTTTCATGAATCAAAATGATAGACAAGGAAGTCTTGGATATTGAATATTCAACTTGACATAGTTAGGTTCTTTGGCACTCAAATGGGAGATTTTACTCTATATCAGTGAACTACAAACTATATCCTTGCTCCTTTGTTCACATCCTTGCTCTTATGTGCATCCTTCGAGTTGTTCACATGTATCTTAAAGTGGAAATAGCCAAGTACTTCATGTGCATATTTCATTTAACTGCATTATGTATGTTAGTGTAGTTGCTTAATCGGTTCTCTATGTTTGTTGTTATATCTACTATATTCTCCAAGGAAATTCATTAGTGGAGAGAATAACAATATTTTACTCTTATTTAAGCAGACCTATATTTAATATGCATGGCATATATAGGTTAAGATTCTCAATGAAGGGTTATAGCTCTATTGCTCTGCTATGCCGAAACCTAATTATCTTTCTCTCTTCTCTTCTCTCTCTCTCTCTCTCTCTCTCTCTCTCTCTTTGTGATTTAAATAGGCGCTCGGGCACTTGTGCGAGGCGAGGCTAGGCCCAAGCGCCTCGTGGGTGGATTGAGTGGCATGCTTCAATGAGGCGCCGCCTGGGTGCTTGCCTGAACCCAAGCACCGGGCGCCTTGAGCGAGCGCCAGATTTAAATAAAGCAACCGAACTAGACTTTTAAGTCTGGTTCGGTTCAACATTGGTTAGTTGGTTTGATTGAACCAACTAATTGATTTCTTACCTGCAAAAGCAACCCTTGCACGCTTGCGCGACCTCAAGCCAACCTTAGCGTTGCTTCTGCCTTTGCCAGCGACGCTTTCTTCCGTTGCCTCCACCGCAGATGCAACGGACCAAGCCTTCCTATGTCGTCGATGAACGAGTTCAATGGCCTAGCAAGAGCCTATAACTTCCTTTTGTCGTCGCTCCATTTGTAGTTAGTTCCTTCCATCGTCGAGGGAGAGGATTGCAGGTTCCTCCGCCATCGACGGACGCCCTTTGGAGCTTTCGTCGTCACCATTGCTGCTATCCGCAGCTTCCACCGCTGCCGTTGCTATCGCTCGCAGCTTCCTTCGCTGCCGTGACTGTCTTAAACTGAATCCTTCATCGCTGCTGTTGTCGTCCACAGCTTCCTTCATCACCGTTGCCTTCTCCTTCCCCACTTTCCACTGTCGGTGACACTTTTATCCCCCTTTGCTACTGTTAATAGTTTTTTTCTCCCCTCTAATTATTGTTAACAGTAAATAATATACTGTTAGCAGTAGATTGTTGACTACTGTACAAAGTAACCTCTATTTACTAGATTGATAATATATTATTTAGATTTTAACATTGCTAATCTTTGTTTATTTAAAATTATTATTAGGGTTTCAGGATAAATGGTAAGTGTACAAAACAATTCAATTATATAATTATATTTATCAATTATATTATATATTAAATTTTATATTTTAATATTTTAGAGTGTCTCGCTTCGCTCAGGCGAGTGCCTAGTGCCTTGGGCATTTTGGGACTTTGGTGCCTTTTGGTATCTAGCGCTTTTTAAATCACTGTTCTCTCTCTTTCCTATCCACAACCATCATCATTTCCATCTTTTTTTTCTCTCACCTTCTGCTTTTGTGGGTATTTCTTACCTCACCATATAGTTTTGACGACGACATACATGAAAACTGAATGTCCATTGGCTGCTTTTAGGTTTACAAACAAAATGACAATAATATTTATATATCTCGGAACACATATATGAGGAGATAAACTGGGGTAAGATGTAGGACAAAATAAGTGGTATTAGAAATGTTACCTGATCAACAGTGCAATCTCCTGAGTTTGTATTAGAAATATATCCACATATTAAACATGCGGTAATGTGTCAGGTTCTATTTTAATTATCAACTAGGTTGCTTACTTAACCTTTATGGTTTCTAGTTTTGATGGACTTTTAATGCTTCATTTTGCATAACCTTAAAGATAACTGTGGTTCATATATGATGCATTTCTTGTCTCACTTTCCCTCTTTGCTCACTGAAAATTCAGATGAGTCCAGATCTGAATGTGTTCATGAAACACTAGCTACCCAAAATAATTTACAACCAAGTTATCAGACAATTTTGTAGTGTAAGATTAACTTGTTCTGAGAACTTGAAGTTTATATAATGAGAAGTTACATTGGCTTGGATTAGAGCACCTCTTGTCAGTTATTTATACCACCTCCAAGAGTAAGGAATGGATTGATTTTATGGAAGTTCAGTGTCCAATTTTATGGATCTTAATGGCTGTATTAGTCAACCAACTTAACATAAGATATCATTGCGTTTTCTAATGGTTTCTCTTACTATCACCAATCCCTTTATTTCATGATGTTGGGAATCTAAATAATAGCTTTTTAGTTGAATCCAGTTAGGGTTCATTGCAATACATGGAAAATGGACAATCAATGAGAATGGGAATTGTTGATTAGGTAAATCTTGCTCCATTCTGATTATGGAACAAAATAAGATTACCCTTATGGTGTATGTTGTTCACAAATTGGAAATAGAATTGGAATTTTAAATGGACGCAACATGGTCAGGAATGGAATTTTAATTTCCAATATTATGTTTAGTTTGATGTTGGAACAAAATCGGAATGACTGGTTATTTTCATTTCGAATATGTGGTACTCCGGTATGCAGAAATTGGAAAAACAATAGATAAGGTATAAAATAGGATTCTGACGGAAGATGTATAGAGCACTCTTCAATTCAACCTTGCAAATCAATGATGTGGTTTGAAGAAAACAATTGAAATAAGAAGAGAAAAAAAGAGTTTTAAAAGGGAACCAAGAAAGAGGTTTGTTGTGTACTTTGATTGGAGATGATGGATCTATCGAGTTTGTGATGGAGAGACGACCGTTCTATGGTATGAGATGAAGTATCTTGCCATCATTCATCGCCTCCATTTTCACCATAGCTTGGGGGAGATCATATTTATAAGCAATGGAGGAGGGGCAAGAGAGCGGCCATAGAAAAAGTGACGGAAATGAGAGAAAGAAGAACAATTAGAGATAATTCCGATACATGCATCTGGAGTCATTAGCGATTCCTATGAAGGGTACCAGATTGAGATTTCTGATTATTAAGGAATTTGATTCCCTTATGGAAATTAGATCAGATTATTAATGTTGTCCATACTCATTCCAATCCCAATTCCAACTTTTAAGGATGAAAAAAGGGCTAGGATTTGGTATGTATGATTTCTATTTGTTGAGTTTTGAATGGAAAACTTCTTAATTGTATTCCACGTTAAAAGGAATGGGTTTTCCTATTACCAGGATCTTCTTATGGCATTTTTCTAAGAATTGTTACAATTCTAGGATATGTCATGGCATTTTGTGCCTCCATGTACTCTTGCTTCTCCGTGCCTTAAAGGAAGAGAAAATGTCCTTTTCCATTCCATCACTTAGCCTTGACTTGTCTTGCCCCTTTTCGAGGAACGGTTGGCAAGGGCCCTTTCCTTCATTACTTAGTTGCACACAACAATGCAGTAGATCTATTCTAAGCTGCCATCACAGTAGATCTGTTGAATGACTTCGATCAGGGTTCCCTGCTAGCTGTCTTTCTTGGTTATCTTTTAGAACCCCTTACAGATATAATGGAACAACTAGTCATTTTGATTCAGTTTCCATGCCAAACCAAACATAAATGCAACCAATTTTTATTTCTACTCGAATATTGTCTTCATCCAATTGTCGTTTCTGATAGAAACTGGGAACCAATCACACCTTGGAACACAAGATTTGATTCTGAAATCTTCCTTGGAAATCTATTATGATTTAAAATTATACTTGACTGGCATCAAGATTCTCCATATCTCGTCTTCTTTCAGGCATAAATAATATATGCTTAAACTAATATAAAACTGACATGACATCATTGTAAAATATCATAAAAATAAGAATAAAATAATAAGAATAATATATGTATGAAATAATATAACGTAAACAACTTTAAAAATGGAAAAGATGTACACTTGTACAGTATATGAAAGATTAAATAGTATAAATATAAAAAATATAAACATAGAATAATAATAAGCAATATAATGTAATAATATATAAGTACCAAATAACATAAAAATCTATCATGTAAAATACTAAATAAATAATAAAGGAGGATGACATAGAATAGGAGTAAAATAATATGAAGTATATAACTAATTATGGTATCCAACTTGAATTTTGATTATGATTTCATAGGTCATCAATCAAACATGCAAAAGGAATTGGACTTTCTGATTCTAAGTTCTGATTCTGATATTGGAGTGCATGAACTAAACATGTTAAGAATTTGATTGTTCTGATTACAAGTTAAGTGATTTATCATTTCTGATTTTGTTTCTAGCAGCAAATGAAATGGCACCTAATGCATAAGTATACCTAACCTACTGATGGTATGACCATGAATTGCAAAATAGGCTTTAATGTTTTATTCTGAAAGGATACAAATGGTGGTTAATGTTACAAGGGTCACAAGTAGTTTGCGACCTTTTGTGGCAGCCTGATATTCTTACACAAAAAATGCTTAACATTCCAAGGCTCACAAGCAGTTTGGGATATCATACAGTTGCCTGATATAATTACACTGTGATCCATTAATGTTAGGTAAATTTTACTTGATATAGATAAATCTCTGTTGGAAAATGAGATAACACATGCTTGGTCCTAAACACTTTCCGAGTACCCAAATAGAGCTTCTTTAATAATCATGTACAAAAGTATATGAGTTACTACTCACGCATCACCTTCACTGCAAACTAAAGCTGCAAAAGTATGTTAAGCATGCATTGCTTCATAAAAGCTATAGTCATCAAGGGTTGGTTATTCACTTTTTGCTTAAGAATGAGCGAACATGTTTTGTCATCTTGAAGGAGATCAATAAACAAAATTAAGTGGAATAGATTGATTGAAGTTGGTCAGCTGCAAAATCTATAAATCCTTCCATCTGGCCATCTGGTTTGAATTCCTATGAGGGCACTGGTTGATGATATGTTACTTTGAGCTGCTTCAAGTCTTGTTAATATTTTTGATTGTCAGAACATGTCATCGTGCCTTTATCTTTGAAGTGTTTCATGATAGAATATTGTCGCAGTCAAACAAAACATGGCATATCTCGTGTTATACTTTATCATGCTTTAAGGTCATTGTGTTGTTTTCTCAGTTGTTTCTGGTTGATGCTAGTTTCTTTCATTGTTTAATCAGCTCATTAATGATAAGTAGCAGTTTCATGTAATTTTCTTGACTATGACCAATGCTTTTTCTTCCCACTGGTTGAAAGTTCCCCTATAGCATTACTATCGTTTAAACTATGAAGCTGAGTATACATACATATGCAACGTATCAGAGTGATCTTAATTATCTGTGTTTTGATGGTTTCATGTATGTGCAGCCAGAGGAATCTCAGCTGGCCAAGATAACACGTGATAGCTCCAAAATCACAGTTGAGCAGGTGCATGGTCTCATGTCTCAGGTAACCAAACACCCAGTTTCTCATACTGCTGCTGCCTCCATTGACTTACATCAGCATCTAATCAAACCTGGTTTGTGCCTTTGTTTCCCGTGCATCCATATAGGTTATCAAGGACATTCTGTTTAATTCTGTTCATCATACAAGCTGTATACCCCCCAGCCTCACCGATTCATCTGGACCAGAACCCATGGTTGAATCTTGAAGAAGCATATATAAGTTAATGAGCTCTTCTTGCAATATCTTACACCTGAAACATTCTGGTGATCTGAGACAGTTATATACATCTTTGTTTGGCTTTGTATTTTCGTACTAAAATTTTCACAACAGTTGCCTTTAATTGCCAGCACAGTTTATGTTTCTTGTCTGTCATTGTTAGGAAATTTAGCAATGAAAAAACCTCAGCTACTTCCTTGTTAATATCTTGCTTATAACCATTTTGAATGAATTGCTGTGGAGTTAATCTGGTTGTTAAATTTGAGGGAGATAGAATGTGTTATGTATATTAAGCTAATACATTTAAAGTTTGGTTTAGATAAGTGGGTGATTTTTTTAGAAAATATTTACATTTTGAGTATTTCTTAATCGGTGTCTCATTTTATTTTTTTAAATAGTATTTTTAATTTAAAAACATATTTAAATTGTTTTTTTAATTTTTTTTTATCTATTACAATGTTTTGATCATCATAACAAAAACAGGTCTATTTGAAAGTATTGAAAATGATGTAAATAGATAAAAAATGGATAAAAATTTGATGAAAGAAATACTATAAATGTTATTAAAAATCATGATAAACGAATCAAATAAAAATACCGTAACAGTTAAAATTTGGTAAAAAAATAGATGAAAAAAATAATAAAATATTTTAAAGATATTTTATATTTTTTAAAATTAAAGATATTATTTTAAAAAACAAATCTTTTTAAAAGTTCTTAAAATATAAATATTTTCTAACAAAATCGCCCTAGATAAGTGGGATAGTGCACATAAATACTACCGCTAAAGGCTCCGATGGAGCGACCTTAGACCATACCCTTAAATCTGACCGTTGATCTATAGAGTCGTGATCGACGGCAGATCGGCCGTCGCCGTACAAAGATCATGATGAGTTGGTCGGGCTCTCAGCACTGCCTCCTAGCCACTTGGGTTTTTGGATCGGTGGTCTGTGGCCAACCTGTCTGCCTTCGATCAGAGACCTCGTTCAGATAGCTCGCCGATCGCCTAACCCGTCAAAACCCTCGACCAGCGAAGGGGATAGCGAGGTAGACGCGATTCATCTCTTCGAGTCCCTGTCGTTCTCTCGTTGTCCCTGCCGCTCCCATCGCCACCGAGAATGGGGTGAAAAGGCTTCCGCATCGGAGAGCGCGGATGGAGTGGGATGGCGAACTGGAGGCCCCGAGTAGCGGGAAGGAGGAGGAAGGCTTCTTGCTGAGCGATGGCGGCGGCGGGGTGTTCTCATTCGCTGTGGAGGGAATGCTTAGGTCGGCGGCCTCATGCGGTCTGGTGATCACCGATGCGCTCGAGCTCGATCAACCCATCATCTTTGTCAATCGCGGGTTCGAGGAGTTCACGGGGTATCGCGCGGAGGAGGTTCTTGGAAGGAACTGGTAATCGCCCCGTGTTGTTATTTTTAGTATTAGAGTCTGTAGACCACTATTATTTTAGATCGATGGATTTGTGAGGTTTTTCTCTGGTTATTAGTTTTAATTTGGACTTGTATTGTGACAATTGATGCGAGTGTATGCAATTCCGGTGATTTTTAAAATTTCTGAACGTTGAATTTTTTTGTTACCTTACAGAGTTATCTTCGAACACAATCTTTTATCCTGTGATGGAATATATAGAATGAAGAAAAAAATTAACAAAGGACTGTAAGCTTAGTGCATAAGAATGATGAAGCTTCTATATTCAAGGAACTTGGTTTAATTGATGATTGTAAGCTGGGGCATAAGAATGCTGAAGCTTCTATATTCAAGGAATTTAGTTTAGATAAGGACCAAATCATCAAATGGGATCTTTATTTACATTCTCTTCTACTATAGTATGGAGAAAGGAGTTCATGAATTGAAGCCTGGGATATTAAAGAAGTCTCTGATGGAACTTGTAGATTCAAGAAAGTTAGTATTGGTTAATGCCTAGTCTCTTACTATTGATCAGCAACTGTTAAAACAGTACCAAAATAAGGGTGGAGTCTACACTTTTGTGGTGTCTGGAATTTTAATTGATGTTTAAAAGCACTACCCTATTAAGGTGGCCTTAAGTCTAAATGAGGCCATTTGCTAGTCAGCTTCTATACTGTGCTTCCTTGCAAAGGAACCTGTGGTTATGGGTCTTGAAAGAGGATGAGGGGATGAAGTCCATGGGCAAGTGTGGATGGAGGGATAGGTAAAGAAAGAAAAGATCAGTGGGAGAACTCATCAGCTAAGTACAGGGATGATAAGGTCCCTGAACAGTGACAAGCTCTTGTGAGGGAGGCAAAATCCCTTAATGTCTGCTACTCTTCTCTTGAACTCTCTCCTCTGTATTTCTCACCTTCTTTGGTGAATGGCCATGAACTTTGAAAGGCTTGAACTAGATTATAACACTCTGTTGGATACAAAAAAGTTTGTTGAGGGTGCACCATATTTACCTGTAATGCTAATACGGTCTCAGAGTAGAAAATGTTTCTCATGGATGGTATGGATTAATATATCCTAGTTGAGTTGAAGGCCATGATCATTAATGATGGTTTCAAGTCCAGTTGAATGATAATTCAGGCTGAGCCTGTTTTGGATCAGTCAATTCAGGTTGGGATTTTCTGGATGCGTTAATGGTGTTTCTTATAACAATTTTGTGGGACTTTTTTTATATTAGGTGGTCCAATGCATGAGGCTCCCATCATTGTGTGGTTTGAGATGGTTTAATGCAAGGATTGAAATATCGTACCGTACTGG